GTTCTGCTATGGATGAATTTTCAGTTTGTTATTTTTTTACATATATCTTATACTCATTTAAGCGGTATTTTAAATTACGTCTTGTCTGACCAATGTAAATACTTCTACATTCATGTTCTATTTTATATATTCCAGTTTTTTCAGTTAAATGTATTTCGTGTTTCGTAGTATCTAAGATTTGATTCATCTTATTTATCGGTTTAAATATAGGGTAGAATATCTGTTGAACTAGATATAAATGGCGCACAGTCATATTTGTGAAAGGAATGCTGATTTTGGAGAGTCCAGGGCTGGTTATATAAGCTTCTGATGACTGTAAAAATAACTACAAGTCTGAAATGGACATATCAAAATTCATCCTTGAGTTTATGCTTGAAGAAAATAGTCAACTAGGTATTTAAATAGAAAGTCCTGATCCATAAATAAGACAGCTTAAATGGTTTCTAACCCTTCTTGGACTAGGGATTGTCACTTATATCCATTGAATTTGAATTCTCACAAAGTGAATATATTCAACCGAATAGCATGAAATTTAAAATTTACTCACTAGACAGTATTTAGTTTCGGCTTAAGAAACTTACATATTTTGATTTAATTTTTTTTTAAATTATGTTATGAAACTTGAACAAAAACTAAAAATATTTCGTTGAATGTTAGAATTTCAACTGATTTTAAGGTTTATCAAAAAATTCCATTTTTATATATCAAATTAGTTTCAACGTCATTGATATTAATTAACATATTTATTTTGCCCATTGCAGTATTTAACACTTTCGGCTATAAATCCTTAAAATACGGCGAAAATTGACAAAGATTTATTGGTAACTTACAACTTACCCTGTTACCTGATGATGACAAAACCTTGTCGAAACGTTGTACATTTGCTGTTATGTTAAACTTATATTAAAGTTTTTCTTCATTACCCATTCAAGCCGTCTCCAGCCATTATTAGTCTCAAAGTGGGTTCCTCGTAATCGAATTACCCTGTTACAGTTGTGTCAGGTTAGGCTAGGTAACAATATTTTTGGTTGCAATCAGTTTATATCTAATAAATATACTTTCTATTTAATAAATTATAAATACCTTTATGTATCTGTAGTGTTTATACATGGTTAATCTAAAATAAATTTCAATAAATGAGGATTTGAGACACATGTAAATCATAAGAATATTTTACTATCACCTGCCATACACTTTAAATTTAACAAGGCTTACCTGACGTCTTCTCATAGAATAAAATGTTCTTAGTTTTTAAAGAAAGAAAAAATCACGTGAAAAAGAAACAAGAGATGTTAGTTTCTTACCAAATATAAACTTATGCTTTAGGATGGACAAAATAATAAAAATCGATAAATATTGTTTACTGACGAGACTTCATGGTGCTTTGCAGAAATATAACAATGAAAATGTTCTTCATTTTTATTTGTGAATTACACTAAATAAATGGTACAAAATGACAAAAATGTCATATTTTGAATATCCATGAGTCCCAAAATTGTTGAGACAAAATCGGAATTATGATTTTTTACATAAATTTCAAAATTAGATCTACAAATGTTACTCGGCACATGAAAGGTGCTCACTTGTCTGGAAACTGTTAAACTCTTCTGCAGCTTCAGCCATTGGATATAGTCTCTGAGCACTGTCATTGTAGTTTGCCAGCTTGAAAGTCCCTTGAACTTCTGCAGGATTCTAAATAAATATTGGTTGCTCAACCTTACAATGTCACTGGCATTTTTAGTGGACATTGGTCAACATATACATCTTACTTTCTTTCTGGTCATTGTGACTCTTGTAAGTACTTGGTAATGACTGCGCTAGTCAAGAAATATCTACGAGTGCATAGACACCGTCTCAGACAGTTTCATGATATCCAGACTGATCTCCACTATTATGAATTATCCTTGCTGTCTTATGCTTCTGCATATGGAAGGTAACCAGCATAGTTTGAGTTGTGGCAGCAGAGCTATGTCCTATCTGACTCTCAACATTTCAGTTCCCACATAAAAGAGAGGTGCGTACATACCTCTCACCATGTTCCTACTTCAACTGCAACTTCCTTCTCTCCAACATTATTTCTACATTATATCAGAAATGCTTTTTCATTATCACAGTTTATATACTTTACAGTAAACAGAAAGTCAAATAGAACAATAAAGATCCGCGACAATAGATCATTGGTTGCAACCCAAAATGCTACATAATAGTCTAGTGTCTTTGAATCACAGATAAAGGTGGAGCCATCAGGTAAGATTAAGTTCTGAAAAACAGCTAATCTACTTACGTTTTGGTAGTATATATAGTAATGCAAATATATAGGTATGTTGAGCTAAGGATTCTTCTACAGTAGGTGTCTGTGACTTGTTGGCGATGAATTCGACAATAAATGAACAGCACGAACTCCACTTGTTTTTAAAATAATATATATATATATATATATTCGGAACAAGTTAAACGTATGTACAAAAATTCTTTACACTATGAAGATCATAGTTGTATCTGAAACACTATACAGTTCTCTTCTTCTTGTCAAGCCCTCCAGTGGTACAGTGGTATGTCTGCGGACTTACAATGCTAGAAACCGGGTTTCGATACCCGTGGTTGGCAGAGCACAAATAGCCCATTGTGTGGCATTGTGCATAACTACAAACAAACAAACAATCTTCTTGTCAAACGTACACTTAGGCCAATTCAATTGCTTTAGAATTTAGTTCACAAGCCGAACTATTTTTCTCCATTTATTTATCGCAATAGCATCCTTGTATAATTCACTTCCAATAATCGTCAGGCTTCTGTCAAAGTGTACACAGGCGGGTTCAATTAGTTTAGAACACCCTTTCACAAGACACATAATTTTTCTTATCTCTTTCAAACTGTCATATCACTCTAAAATATCAACCGTTAAGACATTCACTCCCACGATGGTTAAATTTTATATTTTCTAACTTTTCTCTGACCGAACTTCTCTTTCACGTAACATTACTTTTATTCTCATTCAGCTTGTCTGGTCGCATATATTTATACGTCTATCCTTTGGGCCTTCTAGAAATCTCCATAGCCTCGAAATCAATGGATTGCAAACACAATCTTCGATGGTCTCGACATCATTGAATTACAAACACAAAATAAATATATTAATAATACTACCTACACTAAACAGTCTTTTATATCTGACAGATCTCATGAACAACAAAGATATATTTTATTCCTTATACAAGAATTTGCTAGAATCTTAACTATGTGAACCTAGCTAGAGTTAGTGTAGTATTAGAGCAGTCTGACTGCTGGAGCAGAGAGAAGGTATGGAACCTCTTCATCCAGTGAAAGCAGAAAGGATTGTTATCATATCTTATTGTTAAGTTATATCACATTGCTAATTCATTCCCCTTTATACATCTCAGGGAAGATAAATTTCCAGCGCAAGCTAACTTGTATATTTCCCTACACCATCCCTCTTCTACTTGGATATGACCAACATTCCAGGGTAGCGATGAAAGAGAGAAGCATGCCAAAGCAGGTGTAAGCAATATAGAATGGTCACAGTGGTTGTAAACTAACGCAAACTTACGAACATAAAAATTATATCAACTAACTAGTGAAAATCTGCAAGAAATCAAATTTTAAACTTTAACTGAATATACCTGAACAAATGCATATATTTTCTAAGTTATGAAAATATAGTACTATATCAACTGCTACTCTGCACTAAAGACGTTGATTTAATACAAAATTCAATTTCATTTTGTGGTAAAATAAACGTTAATTTTTATAAAAACAATCACAAAGGCACGACTCACTAAATAATTTGTTTCACGCAAAATACTTCAAGAGACGCATTTTATGTACAGTGCTTGACTCAACTGGAAAACCACCAGGAGGTCTACTAGAAGGAACTGTCACTGCATTTGGATCCTTTGATCAATGCATCAACATCAAGAAAGAAAAAGATGACTCTCAATTACTCCGTGGTCAGTACTGCTCTGTGCATCTTCGACCCCCATTGCCTCCCAGAAACCGATATGCCAGTGTAGTAAAGCCGCTAGATGTTTTCAAAAACATTTCATCAAAGGACAACGTAAGTTTATGAAAGTTAAATGAGATAGATCTCTATCTATTGCCTTCCATAAGAATTTTTTTTTGTAACCTGAAATATAATTTTTGAGTAATATCTTGAAGAAAATCCTTATTATTACAGGTCCTATACAATCTCGGTCAACATGCTCAATACTATAATTACATGGCCTATAGAATAGGTGTTTGTTTACCGTCTGCATGTACGAAGAACGATATCACAAAGTTAGTCGAAAGGAGTAAGTAAAAATATTCATTATTGCAAAATGAGTTTGCTAATGTAATTAATAAGTTACAAAATGTTCTTAGCTTTTTTAACAGATGATACATTAAAATATTATTAAATAGAAGCTTTCATAAGCTTAAATTTTGTGTATGTCTATATTCATGTATATATACTTTAAATTTTTATGAGCAAGAGCATAACAAAATTTTTCACTGAACAAATAACAAAAGATTTCCCATTTGAGGTAAACTTCTCAATGCATCGAACAATACCATGCCTATTTTTTATGAAACAAATATTGTTTTTAGATTTTGTGGATTTTACTTAACTATTAGTCAGGCAATAATATTCAATATTTTTTTCTGATAGGAAAATATTTAAATACGTTTCAAATTAAACAATTTATGCCAGATTAATCTCTTGAAGAATGTTATATTTGCTTACCGAATGCGAACTTTGCCTTATATATCGAATCACATTCATCTAGAAATACTTCTGTTTTTCAGCTAGCTAGAGGTTTACCGCATTCTATTCAATTAAAGTCACGATAACTCTAGCATTTCGTTTGCGATCTGGCAAATAGTAAGAAAAACTACTTTCTATTTATGATACGGATATTGAAAATGAACGAGAATCTCGAGTGCTTTCGAAGGATGGAATCTTTTTCTTCAAGAACAAGAACGATAGCTCACTCTTGGAGAACTCTCGAGTTTCTGGTTTGTTTTCAAAATTATCTGTGAATATGTGAATATCCATTCAAATTCTTTCATTATGGTTGTATTTATGCTATGATATTCATAATAAAAGTATCGTTTTTTCTTTTGTAAGAAATCTATCTGTTTAGTTACCTTGATAACTCAATATTTTATTATATATATAGTTTATATGTTAATGTTGCTGATTCAGTATTCTGTTCAGTAAACCAGGAATCAGGAAGTAAGAGATTGCATGAAGTGCATGAGCAATTCGTTCTGTATATATTTCTCATAAATATATAATTAGACTCTGTAATATTCTTCAATAAATCTGAAGTATTTTTAAGTTAAAGTAGAATTCAACCACGTTATTAAGCATTTGGAGCTAGTCTTGCACTTGGTCACCCCATTAATTTTATTTTTTCAGTTGGAAAATATCTGGACTTCAATGCTGAAATTATCAACTGTGAGACCAAAGAGCCCTGGACAATGGACAGGATTCAGATTTTGATATGGTATAACTCTGTAAAAACTTACTTTACAAATTTGTTTCTACATCAAAACCAGTACCGTAATATTTTTATCCCATTAATGCCAACTGTAAACGAACAACAACTAGAGTAAATACTTAAGATGTTTATATAGAAATGGAGAAGCAAGAAGGAAGGAAACAAATTGGTCAAACACAAAACTTTAAATATTTAAAAACTCTTCAAAAAGCTGAAAAGGCATTTAAAGTTGTGCATAAAATGTACATCAAAGAGTTTCCCAGAACAAAGAAAGTCTTGATTTTTTTAAATGTGGGTCCTCCCATCTAAAGGATTATACACTTCTGGTGAACGTAGTTTAATTTAAAATGTCTAGGTTCCTTTCCATGAAAAATGTTGGTTGCTGCTTTGGTCTGAAAGTTATCTTTTCTCATTGTTGAATGTGAATATTTTAAGGATGTATTTACACATTCCATACGTCTGCCTGTTGACCTGGTTTGATCTAATTTTACAGATATAATCATGTTTATTTTACAAAAGAAGGAGTTGACTCTTTGTTATATGGTTAATAATGCCAATGGATTATGCAGGTCTATGGAATATGTTTTAAGCTTGGCTTTGCACATCACGATTAAGGAATTAAATAGCTAGAATAGTATTTAAGTTTTGTGGGCAAAGTAATAAACGATGATAACGAAAACTTGTAGAAACTATTTTTCTAAAGTCTCAGAAGCTGACCTATTACAACGTGGTTTGCTTTGTTCTTTAACTAGGTTTTTGTTTTTTAAAGTTGTGTTTTGCTTTGTTATTTCACTAAGCAGAGATTTTAATGCTATGCTTTGTTCTTTGACTACGTAGGAATTTTAAACACGCAGTTTGCTCAGTTCTTTGACTATACAGGAATTTTAAACACGCAGTTTGTACAGTTCTTTGACTATACAGGAATTTTAAACCTGTGTTTTGTTTTATTCTTTGATGATACTTTTAGGTAGTCTGGAGGAAGACACATTTTTGTAGTTTCCTTTAATTTTTGGTTCTGGGCATAGAAATAATGTTTATTTAAGCAAAATATAAATTAATAATAAGTGTAAAATCCACATAAGTCTAAACTTCAAGAGTTTTAAATCTCGATAAAGTTGCTTTTGTGTGGCGTATTTATTTTGAATTATTGTATTTTAACCTTCAGCAACTCCTTGTTGTCAAATTAACGCTTAGCTATGGATTTAATAGCTGCGTTTAGTTTTATATCGTATCATGCTACTAAAAGAGATATTAAACAGGTAAACGATTAACGAAGGATTTAAAACATGTTTGGATCCTGCCAGAACTCGATTTAACAAACATATCTCTACAATATAACATATGTTTAACTATGTTATTCTCGGAATATAATCGCCTTTGTTTCTATTGTAGTACTACATTTATTTTTGTGGGCCTGCTTGTCGTTTTGGGGACCGCAACGGACTTAATGCTTAGAGCGAAATCATCAGATAATACTTCGAAGACAAAAAGTAAGTTGAAAACAATAATGTTATATAGAATAACATTAAGTTTTAGTGAAATTTGGTCTTAACAAAATACTGGCATTATAAAGAATGATATTTACGTGGGGATAAATCATTCCTAAACCGAATCTCTCAGAATTAAACTATAGTGAGACTGAATTCGTTGCAACTGTCGAATGAAGGTTATTGTATAAATGTTAATGACTTATTTAAATTGGCTAACCAAAAAAAAATAAATAATAATAATAATAAATCAGTGAAAAAAAAATCAACATTATCGTTCAGCGACGGAAATGTTGTTTCAACGTTTTTATGACTAGAGTCTCGTGTTCCTTATACAACGTATTAAGATCGCGCTTAATAAATTACAAGTTATTTTACTAGATGTACTTCAGCAGAGTCCCCAAAAGTATTTTGTTTCAAGAGTAATTAAAACCGAAATTATGAGTAACAAATATTTTTATTTCTTGTTTTTGAAGTTCAAATTTCATGTTGTGTTGTAGTTTACAGATTACATAATTATTCTCATAATTCATAGTTTCGCGCATTTGATTGACGTCACGACAATATAAATTGCAACGTTAAGAGTCCCTTACGTGACGTCATTTTAGTGTCTACTGATTGACTGACAGACAAGACACTACTATATGGTGGTGCCAGTGGTTAAAACAGGTGGACCCTCCAGGTGACCTTCAGCTCACTTTCGAGGAATTACCTTGGGGTTCACCGAGACGGGTGTTCTAACCATTTATTTGTGGTAGAAGAGTTTTCCTATAACAGAAAACGTCAGTAATCGTAAGTTTAAGACTTACCATGTAGGAAAACAATGATAATGATATATACACTGTATACTGTGATTTATTATATTTAATTTGATAGCATTTTAAGTAAGTTTTTGCAAAACTAATTCATCATTTTGGAAATAAAAAATAAATTTGATATTTACATGAATATTACTATCGTGAAAAAAGTAAAATTATATGTTTTATCATAGGTTCACTAACTAGCATTTTGGTGGCGTTTTCTGCTTACACCAATGGCCAGAAGCTTATGGATACAAGTACATCTAGTGAACACCTGAAAGCAATTCATGGTATCCGGTTTTTGACCCTCAGCTGGATTCTTTTGGGGCACACGTATCAACCCAACAATTCTAAACAGATTTTTCGTTAGTATTCGATTAATTTACTATGATACTTAGAGTGATTAAGCGTTTGCTTCAAGCTTTGGAATGAAACTGAGTGCGGCAGAAAAAGCTTAGACAGATTAAGAGATGACAGGTTACAATGCCAGTCACCAATTCCGCCATATATTTTATAAAATATAACATTTGGTGTCTAGAGTTAAGAAACGTTAAAATCTCTATAAGTATTATTTTAGCAGAGATTTTTTTTATCACATGCATCTGACAGAAATATTATTATTATTATTATTCAAATTCTGGTTTGTCACCTGAACAAATCCTAAGTATATAATGTGCTAAACGCTCAGGCCATAGAACCTATAGTTCATCTATAGTCGTCCCTGTCTGTGGGGAGTGGGGCTAGACGGATGGCAACCAGTCGATGTTACCTACCTCCTGCAGTGGCTATTCTTAATTGAATACTGGCACTGTCTGTCACTTTTATAACGCACCTACAGTTGAAGGTGTAGAGCACTTCTTGGATCACGAGTTCGATACACCAACAACTAGGCAATACTTGGGTCACTGACATTCTTATAAATCACTTTATGAATAAAATTAATCACCTATTCGTGATTTTGATTTTTGAAATCAGTCAATCACAGGAACACGTTACCACTGGAATGTTCCATCACTGAATAAAGATAGATTGAAGTTATTTAAATATATGGTCAGAGACATAGGATTACATAGATATTTTAATATAAATACACATGCATCTTTGAAAAGAAGCTTAGTAAGTTAGATTTTTGCTTGCTATTATTTAACAATAGCTTTTCTTATAGTATTTGAGGGTGTTCGAAGTAAATATACAAACGTGTTTAGAACAATTCATATTGAATTAAATAAATAATTATAGAAACAGTGCTATTTGTGATTATATTTGCATTTTCGGTTTCAGTGAGTTAGATGGTATGGAAATTCATATTCAAAGATATAAAGTTATACGTCATTAGTCAAAACGATCCTAGTACCTAAACAGAATGATGTAAGTAATACTTGTAGATCAAACAATTTATCTTGTTAAATGCCTATATGTTTAAAAGTAAATTATTACTAGAAGAGATATTTGGCTTTCCACGTTTTGGTACATTTTATTGCTTCTGTTGTCTCGCAGAAAACGAGTAAATTGTTGATATATATATATATACATTAAACATGTAAACAGCTCTTACACTACTGTAGCACACACTTAATGTAATGATGAAGTACATTAGTTGAATACCGTATCACATATGCACACTATCAACAACAGGCAACTTATGGCTCTTGGATAGACTGTAGAAAGTTCAGTACAGACTCCTCCTTCCCTCCCACACACCACCAACAAAAGAAAACACAACACCAATTGAACAGAACTGTGCTGCTAAAGCAGTACACACACACACACACACATAATATATTTTAAGTTTACTTTATCATATCTGAATTCAGAGATATCATCCAAATACCCGCTGAAGACTACTATATTGTGTAATTTGAAATTTACAGTTTAAAAGTCGGAAGCCGGCGAAATATTAGAAAAGCAATACGTCTAAAAATTGTTATTAAATCAAACTAACCACAGCTGTTTTTTTTTCACACACATTCCTCTGATTTCGAGTCGTAGTGAACAAATTAGGGGGAGGGGGGGGGAATGTGGAAACAATACACCTGCATTTAACTTGTTTTTACATATATTCTCACCTAAAAGATATTCGTATACAAGCGTGCGTTCCGGATTAGGATTCTGTAAGCCTAACGTTTGTGTGCCGTTACCGCAACGGCCCGGCATGGCCAGGTGGGTAGGGTGCTCGACTCGCAATCTGCTGGTCGCTGGTTCGAATCTCCGTCACACCAAACATGCTCGCCCCTTTTATCGGTGGAGACGTTATAATGTGACGGTCAATCTCACTATTCGTTGGTAAAAGAGTAGCCCAAGAGTTGGCTGTGGGTGGT